CTGGCTTAGCATGCCCCAGGGGCAGGGCTGGCATGGCATGTGGGACCAGGAGTCAAGCCCCGGTCCCTGCTCTTGCCAAAGCAGGCGCTTAATCTGCTGAGCTATCTCGCTAGCCCATACCTGGTTTATTTTAAAGGAATTAGAAGATTATTCTGCCATTTGCAGAAAAAAATGAATGTGTTTCATAAACTATCACATAGAAAAAATGGAGAAATCCCTTTCTAGAATATGTAAAGGACGAAGAAAATAATTACAGCCTCCAAAATCAAAGAATGGGTGATTAAAGATAACTGGCAACTTCTCAAAGGACAAAGCAAAAATGGCCAATAAGTACATGAAAAAAATGTTTGATATTTTGGCAGGGAAAACCTTGTAAATTAAAATAATGACGTTGTATCTGACTCATCAAAACCTAAAAACATCCTTGTGGTTGTGCTGCAAAAGGCAACCCCTACATTGTTTGCAGGACACAACTAAGTACAAAGAAGCCTCCGAAAAATTAAAAATAGGAATTCTACTTGACTCAGCTGTGCCTCTTCTGGGAATCTTCCCAAAATATTTACAGATGGAGTTTGCAGGGATCCATGCAGATCCATATATAAAACAGCACAATTTATTATAGGAGTATCTTGCAGATGGAATACATTCATTAACAGAAAAAGGACAAAGAAGCTAAGGTACTTATGAACAGAGGAATATGACTCTGCCATAAAATAGGATGAATTTGAATCATTTACTTGAAAAAATGATGCACTTTAAGTGATACTAAGAGAAATAGATCAGACACCAAAGGTTAACTGTTACATAGATTCTCTTATGTAATATGTAATTATATACAACTCAAAAGCAAAATAAAAGTTGCATAATAGGGAACAGGGAGACAGATTCTGAAATGAGTGGAATGGAGTATGGGGCTTGGGGAAGGTGGTTGGGGATATGGGGTAGGGAAGCAGAAATGATCAAGGTATAATCTGTATATGTACCAGCTCCCCAGGGTGAATGTA